TTCCCAGCATAAGTTGCCAGAGTGACTGAGCTTGAGCTATGGTAATTTTGCTTTATGAAACCAAATCAAGTGAAAATAAGTCAGACTAACTGAAATAAGCCTGGCTTATTTGGTAAACTTGTTTTATGAAACAGCCCCCAGGTGTGTTTAATTAGGGTTGAATCTAAACTCTGCAGGGCTCCAGCGCTCCAGGAATTGAGTCTGACACCCCTGCTGTAGATTATCAACCGTTTATCAAACATGTCAGTTTCTAGCTCAGTCAGCTGCAAAAGTGTGAGGTGAGACTACCTGTTTGTCCAAACAATGGAAGGTAGTGTTTTAATTCATTATTTTCACAATTCAGTTTGTTCCTGCCAGTGGCACATAAATTGCACACTGCACCTTTAAAAAACACACTACTTTTTGCTGGACACAGGTGACAATGTCCATGACAGTATTTGGAAATCCAAAAGGCACTTGTTCTCTAAAAGGTTACAGGATACAGCACTATGGTTGTCATGTCTGAACTGCGTTTAGTCTTTCTGGTCATCACCACTGCATGGTTTTACTCCGTGTGAGTTTGTTTTTGAGTGCATGTCTCATCTGCAGCATTCGTGAGCGCTTGTCCATAGCCAGCAGGTGGCGCAGAAACTCCTGACGCACTTCACGCACCAGCTGCCCGAACGCGGCCTCCACTGCTGAAGCGTCCTCTGCTACAGACAGCTCAAAGAAACTGCACCTACATCAGCAGTGAAACCCTACCTTTAGCACACACAGCAAAACCTTCCAATTCAAATATTAAATGATGTAATGAAGGCATTTAAATCAAACTGAAGATCATCGAAGTGCGTTCAAACTTTTGACTGGTAGTGATGAAATCAATTTTTTTATTAGGATGGATAATGGAGTGTAAAGAAATGAATTGTAATTATTGAAATTAAATATATGAATACATTATAAATAAATAATATTCATTAATATTGACTGATAATATTATGAAATATTATTAACAAAATATTATTTTGACCAAAAACAAATGTTTGTTTTTTTCAAAGAACTTATGTCCAAAACATATATAAATGGCATGGCTGATGCTTACATACAATATTTATATGTAATATATACATTTATTTGAGCTTATAACATGCATTTGAAAATGCAACATGCACCAAACATCTTCCAAAGTTTGTAATGAGAATGCTTTATAAATGTTGTCAAAAAAAGAGAAGCATTTCAAAAGAAAAGTTCCCCTGTGCTTTCCTGCCAAAATGAAAGCTTTATATTTTAACGAGAGCAAAGAAAAAAAACACATAAATATTAGTAAATATTGATATAATAAATATTGTAATTGTACTGTTGTTATATAAATAATAACTATTATTGTTATTATTTTATATAAAATCAATTTATTATTATGAAATAGTTTACAGTTCAATAGTATTATAGTGGTATTTCTTTATTGATTTAATTTTTATAATTTGATCAAAAATAATAATAATAATAAATATTATTATTAATAATAATAAAAATGAAAATTGCAATGGAAAAAATATTCCAAAAACCACACCCTACTGGGTAAATTTGACCTTTTTTATGCATCTTGGGGTTAAACAATTCAGTTAAATTAACCTATATTTGTATGTACTTCATACTATCACTTACAACTGTGCAGTTATCAGTAGAAATGAAGCGCACTGACCTCAGGTCTGATGCTAATGCCTGTCCCTCATCTGTCCTCACCACTCGGCCATTCTCCACGTCGCATTTGTTGGCAATGATGACTGTTGGAATACCTGGAATAAGATACATATACACACACACAAAGACACAGAATGATGTAATGGATGCTGTAGCTCTGACAAAGAACAGACTGCCATTAAAATGACAGTACCTGGAGATGGATGGTATAATAAAATACTGCAGAGTTGTAATCTATCTGCCATTTACAAACTTACACTCACACGCTGCAGTGTACTATATTAAGAGTTCATGCCTGAGGTGAAATCTCTGAACTGAGACCAATTAAGGCAGGCTGAGTCACACTGATGGATAACAGCGCTATTTGCTAGTTGGAGGGACCATATACATAAACAAGATGGCTAGCAGTAGCGCTAATAGCAGAACAGTGTTACTATTTCTCCTTAGTTTGTGATCATTCACATCCACAATCTGAATGGTCTTACCAAGCGTTTGTTTAATGTGGTCAATCAGTCTCTTCAGGCGCGACACAGCCTCAAAACTGCTGCGATCCGTCACAGAGTACATAATGAGAAACCCATCACCCCATTTAATGGAACTCTCCAGAGACGACGCAGCAGGTCCTGCACATTCCTGAAAACAGATTCACACATTTGAGTAGTTCTTCATCTCCTGCACGTGAGTGAATGTGTGCGGATCTGTGAGGATGGAGGTGACGTGCATCTAGACTTTCACAGATGTGATTCTTAAGGCAATTCAGGAGCACAAAGGCTGTAAATGAAATCCATAGACCCAAAACCTCCTGCTTCTCAAATTCAGTGGTTCTCAATCCTGGATCTCAAGTCGAAGCACTGCACATTTTGGATGTCTCCATTATTTAAAAGGATAGTTTTCCCAAAAATGAAACCCCACTGACATTCAGTGTTTCAATGTAATGACAGAAACATTCTTTTGTGTTCTGCAAAGGAAAGAAAGTCATACAGGGCTGGATCGGCATGATGGTGAGTAAATTATGACAATTTTAATTTTTGATAAACTATCCTTTTACCCACACCTGATTTATATAATCAGCTCATTTGTACAGGCTCCAAGACCTAAACTGGGTGTATCAAAGTCCTCCAAAATATCAGAACCGCTACTCTACTGCATTTACACAGACGGTAAAGCTTCAGCCTAATCCTATGAATTAACAAGTGCTGCTCTACTGTGTAACACGATCAGTGGCAGGCGGGCTGTTAAAGCTGCTCCACCAGCCTGAGATTCAGCACAGCAGACATGAAAGGAATGGAATGGTTCAGAGAGTCCTGTGTCTCATCAGCTGTTTGACCAGGCAAGATCATCCTGCTGCCTTTCTTTGAGTCTACGGAACAATAGGCCTGTAAAACAGCACAGCGGCAGATGCACAGTGACAAAGAGATGGTCCCTTAATAGGTAAGAGCCAAAATACAACACAGCATACTGTCAGATCTAATCTCAGGCATTCTGTACCTTATTAACTGTGTCTAAAATCTCCAGTTCAATCGCCTCCTTGTCCACGATTTTCTGACACCTGTAGGTGACCTCTAAGAGACACAAAAAGTATATGGCATGTCACATGATTCAGATTACTTATGAATTTATGAATAAACTGCAGATACACAAATATTTAGAGCGTGAAACCCGCTTTACAGCACCACTGTGTATGTATTTCACTTGTGTTACCCCTTTTATGTTCATACTCTCCAATGAAACGTCTGGTGATGAATCTGACACACAGAGCTGGAGTTCAAAAGAGAAAAACAGATCAATTAGTCATCAAGACCAACCAATAGTCATTAACCCCGAAAAAAAACACTGCAGTGTTACCTGTCTTCCCACAGTTATCTCTTCCCAGCACCACAAGCTTCGCCCTCAACATCCTCCGTACAGATTCTGACATGATCACTGTGGATAATATTATATCTGAATATTATAATAACACTCGTAGAGGCAGGCCAAATAAATGACCAGAGCTACTGTTAGTAACAGGTGCTTTTTCTCGGGTTAAGCTTGACTGCACTTCCGCTACGCTAAAGATGATAGATAAATGCGGCAGAGCAGATGCAACTGAGTATAATACAAAGTTAAAATACAAGGCACTGTGTTAAAGAATGAAACAAAGTTCCCTAGAAATACTTACTTTGCTCCCGAAAGTTGTTAAAAGTGCGAACAGTGCTTGAATCTATATCACTGTGTTCCAGTGGAGACTCTTGTGGAGTTCATATGCTGCAGCCTCTGCTGCTTCTGCGCTCTCCGTCTGTCTGCTTTTAGTAATGACATTAGAAATAGCGCGCGCGCACAAAAAGTGCGAACAGTGCTTGAATCTATATCACTGTGTTCCAGTGGAGACTCTTGTGGAGTTCATATGCTGCAGCCTCTGCTGCTTCTGCGCTCTCCGTCTGTCTGCTTTTAGTAATGACATTAGAAATAGCGCGCGCACACACACACACACACACACACACACACACACACAGAGAGAGAGCGAGAGAGAGACACTGCGGACAGCACGTCATTGTTCAGCGTGGTCTCTCTTCTTTTTCCACATTCATCACCGGGCTCGACTGCGAGACTCATTAAACAACCAGCTGATTTATCGCCTTTGACAGTCGAGCCTACGGAGCAGCAGAGACAGAACCATTCATTAACCCGGGCTAAAATTAAAGCTTTTTATTTTTGCCCTGATATATCTTTTACTCAGATTACAGAGCATCAGTAGAGATATTTGAGGAAGATACTCTTAGTAGGTAGGTGTTTCTGATGATATGAACTAAACAAAATGAACAATGTGAATGAAGCTGAGTTCATAAATAACTAGCAAGAGGTTTGCCTTGTTTGGAAAGTCATTTGTTCCTGTGGAACTTAAGTTTTGAAACAAATAATGCACGTGACAGAGATATAAACAGACAACTATTGTTGAGGTGTTATTTATTGATGTCAACATTTTACAGGTCTATAAGTTGAGTAAAATATCAAAAATAACTAAATTAAAATGACAATAACTTGTAATAAAATACCCTGTCCATTTCCATATCTCATTCCTAAATTACTTGTAAATAATAATAAAATAAAAAAACTCCAGCTTTGCAGTTTTTTGTGTTCACAGGACCAATAAAGAGTGACAAAAAGCACATTCATAAAGGGATAATTCACCCAAAAATTCCATCATCATTCACTTAGTCATTCTAAAACTTTGACTTTCTTTTTTCCTGTAGAACATTAAGATGATATTTTGAGAAACATCTCAGTGTTTTTTATTTATTTGTTTACTTACTTTTGTCCATACAATGAAATTAATTAAAACTTCAAAATATCATCTTTTGTTTTCCACAGAAGAAAAATGAGTTTGAAACAAGTAAAATGTTAAATTATGATTAAATGACAGAATGTTTTTTGGGGGAGGGGGACTATCCCTTAACAAAATGTTTGCATACAGGAAAACAATAGCTATGTGTATCTTTAAAACAATTAAATGGTGAATTCCATCCTAACTGAAATGATTTTGGATGAGTTCCTGTCGAACTCTGAGAGCCTCTGGGTCGACAGTGTCATTGAGATCGATATTCTCCCCTGATTGGTCCGTGGCCTCAGTCCTCTCAAAAGTCCAGGCGTCAAGGCCAGACTGCAGGGAAATGTTATGTAGTACACAGCAGGCCTGGATGATATGGGAGCATTTCTCTGGAGAATACTGCAGGTAACCTTTTGCCCCATCCAGACACCGGAAACGTGTCTGAATGGCTCTGAATGTGCGGTCCACAATCTCATGCGTCGTTGTGTGGGCCAGGTTATAGCGGTACTCAGCAGGGGACTCTGGACTCTGGACTGGAGTCATCAGCCACTTCTTCAGAGGGTAACGGTTGTCACCTGGAGACAAGAGACAGAAAATTTTCACAGGATACTTTGGCAATGTCAAGAAAAATCACTATGGCAACCAAACTATGGGTCTCACCTAAAAGCCAACCTTCGTCATTGTCTTGCTCTTCAAAAAGCTTTGCCACACTGGATTGCTTAAAGACAGTTCTATCTGTCAGACTACCTGGCCAATGTGTCTCAGCACTCAGCAGCAGTCCTCTGGCATCACATACTAATTGGCAATTGATTGAGTGAAATCCTTTTTTATTTACATAGGAAGAGTCGTCTGCATTGGGAGCTTTAATGGCTATATGCGCACAGTCCACTACTCCCATGACATTAGGAATTCCTGCTATTCGGTAAAACTCTTCTTTAGACTGCTGCCTGGTGGCCTCATCCCTAGTGAAGCCAATAAACTCTGGTGCTTTCTCAATCAGAGCTTTAGTGACGTTAGAAACACAACGACTCATGGAGGCCTGGCTGATGCCGATCGCATCTCCCATCTTGCTCTGGAAGGACCCGGTTGTGTAGAATCCCAGGGCTGCGAGTATCTGAACATCTGGGCTGATGGCTCGTGACCTCTGTGTCCGTCTCAACAAGCTGTCCTTTAGCAGTTCCACCAGATAATAAATGAACTCACGTGGGAAGCCAAATGTTGTCAGCAGGAATTCATCTGACACTGTCTCGATATCAAATCGATCAAGTGTTTTGTGCCCACGGCCATGCAGCAGCAGGTCACAGTCTAGGATTGCAATAGAGATTGCCATTCCACACACTCAGGAGGACCTGTGGACAAATGACACATGTGAATGTCAGCTAGTGTCATGTAATGCCATGTCAATAACTAAAACATGATACATCTGGGCAGGGACACCGGCAAAGGATAAGTATCGCTTTTTATTTCTCCTCTTTCCTACTACTTGTTTCACTTCTGTTTCAGTTTTTATAACAATTTCTTATTATGTGTAAGTAAGTTGTTGTTTTTTAGCATGTAAGCATTAGCATGTCGTTTGATTTGTATTATTTGTTATTTATTTAAATTTTAGTTAAATTATGTCTGAATTTATTATGTCTGTATAGGTCTTTTATTACGTTTTAGTTTTATTTAATTTTAGTTACGTAATTTTTATTTAATTTCTTTATTTTTAAAATGTGTATAAGTAGTATTTATAAAGTTTTAGCTTTTAGTTTTGGATCTGTTTTTAGCTGTTTTAATACTACTATAATACTGTATAGTACTATAATACTACAATTGATTGCTTCTGTTGTCCTCATTTGTAAGTCGCTTTGGATAAAAGCATCTGCTAAGTGACTAAATAAATAAACATCCAAATTTTCACATTTCTGGGCTTCTCAGAAGCGGAAATCGACATAGTTGGGTAAACTTCTATAGTGGTGGACGAAAACCACAACAAATATAATTTGTGCCTTCCTATTTGAACAAAAAAATCCACAATAGCATTTCTGTGACTTTCCAGAAGAGGAAGAGAAACGTAGAGATGAATTACGTTAGCCAGAAGAGAGAAACATGTCAAAATTGCTGTCACGCCCTCAGCCATTGTATTAGGAACACCCACAGATCAGCGTTTCTTAGTTTCTGTAGTTTAATGGCAAGGGAATAAACCACAAAATATAGTGGTATATTTGTGCTAAATGTTTCTGCATGCACTGATTTCTTCAATGTGTGACTGCTTACAACACAAGTTTAAAGCTTATCTTGACCTAATCGCATATTTTTTATTACAGTAACGTTACTTACCGCAATTAAACTGAGCTGGTTATATGATCTAGTTTGTCGGCTCAGCACAGTATTTTACACAAAACCGAACGCAACCAACTCTTGAATTACATTATCTCATAGTGAACAAATTTGATAAACACAACGGTAGTGGAAACATTCAGATTGACTGAAAATGAGTTAATCGTTACCTGCACTGGCGACTGTTTGTGTACGCCGACATTGAGATGTGACGTCATTCACGTAACAAACTTCCTGTTCAGGGGCTGCACTTTCGATATTTGTATTGGTTGTTTTATAGAATAAACTAAGAGCAGGCGGATGCATATCATGATATAACACACATGTGCATATAACTTTATTATATCACAATTGCATACAGTCCTTTAAACCATATTTCAAAAAACAACGAAAGTGGCGTGGTTGAATCGGTAACGTTACAGGCAACACGTCACTCCTGCCCTAGCCAAACAAGCAAAATAAACAAAAACGGGGAGCCTGTCAGTGTGTGACGCTGTGGTGCTACGATGTGATTAATTGAAAATACAGGATCGATTAGTCTGTATTTGATCATCAGCCACGCTGTTTTGCTCACGTAACGTCAAACTCTACGTGTTAACAGTTCAATCTCCACTCTGTGATGAGCTGTAAGTATGTGCGCATGTTTTGCTAAGGAGTTAGCATTGGCTGCATACACATACAGATGATTGTAAACTATTTGAGATGTTTGGCTGTGAGAAACAAATGGCAGGTCTACTGTTTTCAAATCTCGAGTCGGATGAACTGGCAGCTGTCATGTGATATTGATTGTTATGAAGGTGTCTTAGTGTTGTGTTGTTGTTTTTTACATTTAGATGTAGTCATTTAGCAGACGCTTTTATCCAAAGCGACTTACAAATGAGGACAATAAAAGCAGTCAAAACTAACAAAAGAGCAACAATATATAAGTGCAAATGACAAGTCTCGGTTAGCCTAACGCAGTACACGTAGCAAGGTGTGTGTGTGTGTATATATATATATATATATATTATACACACACACACAAAGAAAAACAAAAATACTTTTTATTGAGTACATGTTTAAATGCATGGAGGCGAGCTGCCGTAGAGACGCGACAGTATTAATGACACCAAGACACCAGTAAATTCGTTAATTATTACTATTATTAGAGTTGGATGAAACAAGATGACCCACACCTTATTTTTTCTCTTGATCATAGAAGGCTCACAATCTCAACACTTTTGATGAATGGCTTTGCTCTTCTTCATTTTGTCTTTTCATTTGAATATCAACGTTTTTAAGATTTCGTTAGTCGAAACAGTTTTGAGGTTAACTGATCTAATTTTGCATCTTTGGAAAATAGTGATCTGTGACATTGTAATATATTGAATACTCTGCCAAAAGTCTACTGCATGCATCACAAAGATTTTGTGTCTATTTGTTCATTAGTGATTGTGGACCAATTAATGTTTTTACATCTGTAAAAAAAAATATTTTGAAGTTAAATTTAGTTCTGCCCCCAGAATTGGCACAGAAGGCCCTAGTGGCAAGTTATTGTTATTATATTATAATAATGTTATAATAATGTAATATGTTATAACAGTGGTGGTTATTATTCAGTAATTCCATGAGTTAGATCTACATTTCAGACATCTTCGCTATTCATTAAAACCTGTTTTGTTAGTTTGTTTGTCTGTCATCGGTCATTCAAATATTCAACTAAATTGACAAAGTACAATTTTAGATAGAATAGATGATGCAGTATTTTACATTAATGATATTCATCTTGTACATGTTGTATCTAAATATGTTACGATTTTAAAATATGAATAAATGTAAATGTACATTATTATTTTATAATGAGGGCTTTTTCCTCCATCGTATCCTACTAATTGACCTGACTTTCAGATATGTGTATTATGTACCTTTTTAATTTTTGTGTTTATATCAGCTTTTTCAATGTTCAATGAGGAAAGTGTCTTTAATTTGTATGTGTTAGGCTTGTGCGACAATGGATAGTGATCTGAGCTCACAGGACAGGAAAGACTTGGATAAATTCATCAAATTCTTTGCCTTGAAGGTGATTGCATTAAACACTACAGTGCTAAGGGTATTGTTGCATTCATGAAATCTGGTATCCCAGCCAGGCAACAGGGTGATGATATCCTTTGCTTTATCTGTGTGTCTTTCAGACAGTGCAAATTATAGTTCAAGCCCGGCTTGGAGAGAAGATCAGCACTTGCTCATCTTCATCACCGACAGGTTCAGACTGGGTAAGACACATCCAGGACGCTTCACATACAGAGGTCCTGTTTTCTTCGTCATAACTAATGTGAGATCTGCCTGTCTGGTTGTTTTCATGTTTTTATTCAGTTTAATTTGGCAATTAAAGACATCCCAGAGGTGACTCATGAGTCAAAAAAAGCTCTTGCTGGACAGCTGCCTGGGATCGGCCGATCCATGTGTGTGGAGATCTCCCTCAAAACCTCAGAGGTCTGGTCTTTTTTTTTAGTTCACCATCAATATAATAACAGTATCATGACAAAAATATAAAAAGAAACAAAATGTTTAAAATGCCTAACTTAATAAAAGATGTTTACTTGAGTATTAAGAAATTGCGTTTACCCATGCAGGGAGACTCCATGGAGCTGGAGACGTGGTGTTTGGAAATGAATGAAAAGTAAGCCCACACAGTTCCCCTTCACAGACAGGACAAAGCAGTCAGCTGACACCTGCTTTGTGTCAAGATTGATACATTATCAACAAGTCAATATTTACTATACCAGGGCATAACTAGGGTTTGCGTTTCTTCCAGGTGTGATAAGGACATTAAAGTGTCCTATACAGTTTATAATCGGCTGTCTCTGCTGCTCAAGTCTTTGCTGGCCATCACAAGGGTGACACCTGCTTACAAGCTTTCACGTAAACAAGGGCACGATTATGTCATACTCTACAGGTACTCAACACACTTTCGTCTTGCTCCACAAAGCCCTATATTGCTTGATACATGTGTTCATACAGGGAAAACAGGATGTCATATGTACAATCAGATCTTATTAATATCTCTATGATAGGATCTATTTTGGAGATGTCCAGCTGACAGGTCTCGGGGAAGGTAATATAATGAAGGATTCTCTTCAAAATACTAATAAAGGACATGTAGATGTTCTGTAGTATTTGTTTATCTTCTTCACTTCTCTCTGCAGGGTTCCAGTCAGTGCGAGTGGGTGTTGTAGGCACTCCCATAGGCACCATCACTTTGTCCTGTGCATATCGCACTAATTTGGCCCTCATGTCTTCAAGGTATATATTACATCTTCCTGTATTCAACGCATTCAAGTATTCGGATATTATGGTTATTGTAGTTTTGTAGTGTTGTTGTGCAAGATATTGTTCTCGTGTCTCACAGGCAATTTGAGAGGACAGGCCCTATCATGGGTATCATCATTGATCATTTTGTGGAGCGTCCCTTCACTAATATGGCACACATGCATCCCTGCAGTTACAGGTGCGTAAAAATCATAGATATGATCATATTAATACTTTTATTCAGCATGACACAAATTGATCAAAAGTGACAACGAATACTTTTACATTGTTACAAAACTAGGGATGTAACGATGCCAAGCCGGTTGAAAATCGATACAAATATGCAATGATTCAAGGCGGTTGAGATGTTAAACGAATCACGAAACAATTGGGGGTGGGGGTTTATATGAGTTTATCTCTGAGGGGAACTGACTGTCTTCAGAAAATTCAATGGTATTTTCTTTTCATCGTGCCTCTGCATAATGCATATTGAAGCAGTATTCAAAAGCGCTGTGCAGCTGTGTTTACAGCGGTAACCAAGGAAACGCTATATCGCTGCTGTTCCATAAGCGCCACCTACTGTCAGAGATTGAATTTGCATCCCATTCAGTACGTCTGCTGTTTTTGTTTCCTTCAGATGTGTTTTATGTAGCATAATTTCACAAAGCTAAAGTCAGACCATTCTGTTTTTGCTTTAAATTTCAAAATTATACAATCAAATTTAAGTCACAAACTGCTCATGCTGCATGTATGCAGCATCTTTGTTTGGATTGTGATTAAAATGCAGTGGTTGCCTCTAATTTTAAATGGAAAGAGCACAGACAAAGCCTTAGTTTGTTTATATGAGGAGATTTCTTGTAATTTTTAATTTTTTGTTTATTTGATTTAGGATTTGTTTTAAAAATACAGTTTAGTTTTGTTATCACTTGTTTGACATGAAATGTGTAGCATTTTATCTGAGAAATAATAAAAGGACACCTTTTCATTTAGAATTTGTCTTAAATCTCATTTTGTTAAAGAAAATCGTATTGTGAAATCAGTATCGTGAATCATATTGCATCATGAGATGAGTGAATCGTTACATCCCTATACAAAACATTTCTATTTCGAATAAATGCTGTTCTTTCTATTCATCAAAGAATTATGGGAAAAATATATATCACAGTTCCTACAAAAAAATACTAAACTTTTCAACATTGATAATAATATGAAATGTTTCTTTAGCACCAAATCGGCATATTAGAATGATTTCTGAAGGATCATATGACACTGGAGTAATGGAAATTCAGCTTTGCCATCACAGGAATAAATGACATCATAAAATAGAAAAAAAATTTAAAATTGTAATAGTATTTCAAATTCTTACTGCTTTAACTGTATTTTTGATCAAATAAATGTGGCCTTGGTGAGCATAAGAGACTTCTTTCCAGAACATTTAAAAAATCTTACCAACCCCAAACTGTTGCATATATCGCATTGTAGAATATCACCTGAATTGTTATTTATAGTAAAAATTAATATTTCGTTTTTTTTTTAATTGTATAGTAGAAAGACATACAATGTTTAAGTGTTGTTTTTTTTTCAGCGTTCAAGATGAGTTGGAATTAAACCCTTAATACCAGAAGTTCACTTTTACATACTGATAGTACAGGTATTCAAGCTCATTCAACTCTGCTTTCTTATCCTTTGGCCTGTTCTTTTTTCTCTCTAAGAACGCCTGGAGAAGATGAGGGAGGGACTTATGCAGGAATAGAAGACTCTCAGGAGGTGTGCACCACGTCCTTTTCCACCTCCCCACCATCACAGGTAATGCCGTCACTATCAGCGATCCATCTATCCCATTAAAAATAACCCTTCACCACCTTCCTTGCACAGGTCAGACTTCAGTACAGGTGCAGTGCAGCCTGCCATTAAGAGATTAACTGTTAACCTTGGATAAGCTGTTTTCATTCATGAGTCTCTTTCAACTGTTCCCTGATGAACAGGTCTCATTCTTTATATGTGATTATGGTTTTTGCTTTCCTGCAGCCATGAATATGACCTGAGATTGCTGCTTAGTACAGTACATATCTTCCCTATTCTTAGGTGTTTTCTTTTCATTATTTTTCTCAGCTTTTGGTTAGTCAGCTGTCTTGAACAGTGTTGTTTTTGTTAACTAAATTCACTAAATGAAATAAAGCTGAAGTAGAGGCAAAATAAAATATAAAAATTATATATATATATATATATATATATAAGCTAAATATAAATATTTTTAAAAACTAAAATAACATGACAAAAGCACACAACTACTAAAATTTAAATGAGAAAAGAAAATATAGGAATACATGCTGTTTCAAAATATTAATAAATATTAAAATAGTATACAAATAATACTAAAATAACATTGGTCTTGGTGTACAATCTTGCTGCAGTATTTACCTTTCCACATAATGCTTGTGTAGTATTGGAGGTTGCAGAAGACTAGCATTAAAGTCATTTATGTGACCATGAAATCAGATTCTCTCTCCCCGTTATCTCTTTCTGTGGTAGTGGTTTCATTTCTGCTGTTGCTTTTGTTTTTCTTTCTTTCTTTCTCTTTCTGTGTGCATGTAGTGTGTGTGTACTGTAAGTCAGGCACATTTTAAGACACCTAAGCCGGCTCTGATGGCCACACTGAAGGTTCCCCTCATGGGGCTTGGCGTCTCACAGCAAGTGAGTCCAGTATGTGTGTGTGAGAGAAGTGTGTGTACACGCATGCAGCTGGTAGATTAAGTACAAAGTGTGTGTGTGGCCTGCCCCAGTAACCTATACTCCACTGCTTACCCTTCATAACCTTGTATAACCTTTTAATTAAGAGGGTTATACAGTATCACTCACACAAGAGATTGTTTGAGCACTGCTCCGACAAAAGCACACAATCACTGCTGCCTTCTCCTTGAGCTGACCTGCCTGCTGTTTTACTTGAAGCATTTGTGTGTTTGCTCTGACAACTACTCTGATCCTTCTTGCTCTCTGCTCTGCAGTGAGGTTTTTACAGGACCAGATTTAAAAAGCTGACCTCTTAATCTGACATTCGACTCTTATTTGTGATATGAATATCTCTGTCTCAGCTGTACAGCTCTCGTCTGTCATATCAGACTCCGGCCCTGGGAACTGTGGATTTGTGCCATCCTACGGCTTTTACTGCTGGTGCACATCCTCACCAGGTACGGCACACAATGCACCAGCGCATACACACATGCAGAAGCCCCACCCTCCCTATCATAACTTCATGCCCTTGATCCCTTCTGATGTAGAAGAGCTGCTTGGAATTACTTGCACCTGTCTACAGAAATGGGTTTGTTTGTGTCGTTCTGACCTGACTGAGGTGGCCATGTATGTGTCTCTTCCAAATCAGATGGTTGTGCCGGGTAAAGAAGGTGGAGTCCCACAGGTGCCGGCTCAGCCTAATCATGGCACTGCAGCTGAGCATTGTCGTATCCCATCATGCCCCAATGGACAGTCCCCTCAGCCGGCACAGCCCACATCCTGTAGTAGGTAAGAGTGTGAAGAGATTCAGACTGTTCAATACTGATTTTTCATTTATCAATTCAGCTAAATTTGATTCCATGTTTGTGTGTGTGTGGTAGCGAGGTGAAGACTGTGTTCTGTGATGCTCTAGAGACCACCTTCACCAGGAAAGTTGGTGCTTTTGTCAACAAAGCCACCACTCAGGTTAGAATACACTAATAATTTATAATAACTTTCAGAACAAAAATTACCTTATTGTATATTGAAATAGTTCTCGTTAAAATCAACATCAATCAGATATGCTGATTTGGTGCTTAAGAAACATTTCTTCTACTACTTATTGTAATTAATGTCAATGTTGAGCAACATTGTGCTCCTTAATATTTTTGTAGAAATTGTGAACTTTTCAGAATTTTTTTGTTGAATAGAAAGATCAAAATAACACCATTTATTTGAAATAGAAATCTTTTTAAATGTCGTAACTGTGACTTGATCAATTTAATGCATTTTTATGAATAAAATTATGAATTTGATGAACACTGAAAAATTATGAACACTGTCATGTTCAGGGGGAAATGCATTCTGATGTGCTGTGTATGTGTGGAACTCAGGTGACAACAACCAGCCTGGATCTTCCTTTTGCTGCATTCACTCCAAGAGCCAATGACCTGGAGGTGAACGACCCGATGGTATTGAAACCAAAAAACACCCATATTTACTATGTATTTCAAATTAAGAAAACCCACTTGGACACTACGTGTCCTTAGTGTGCAACTGCATCATCCACTGTCTCCTCATTTTCTTTGTGATTTAGAGGTGTTTTTCTCTGTTTGCAGGTGCACCCTCCTCCATCCCCAGCTCCTTCGTCTCCCTTGCAAGGCAGCCTGCACTCAAACAGCTCGAGCCACAGTGGGGGGCAGCCACAAGACGACTTTGTCATGGTTGACTTTGTAAGTGCACCAACATATAATACAAATTCACTTATCAATATCTGCTGTACTGTTGAGAACTACTGTATGTAACAGCGAGCACATTGAAAGGCACTGCATCAGTACATTGAGTGAATGGGAACTGATGAGTATCATTAAAGAGATGGGTTTTGGTAGGCATTTTGATGTTTTTGATTCCTCTTGTGAGAGGTTTGACAGCAAAAGGGAGTTTTATCAAGCCCTTGACAGAGCATCTTGTGATCCAGATAAGTCAATTATTCATCAAAAAAAGAAACTTAGACTCTGACCTGAGAGAAAGCTACATAAGTTTGATGTTTAATAAATCTAAAGAAGACTTTACTCTTCTCAATTTTTATTTCATAAATACAGCGTTGAATGATGCAGTATCCCATAACAATTGGAAGTCTTTGAAGCTAGTGAGTTGATGTTGCTTAAGAGAGGCCCAAAGAGACCTGCTTGATCATGTTATTTTTTTTTAAGTCTGTTTCTGCATGGCAGAGCAGCACTGTTTTGGTGTTGATCAGAGCTCTAGCGTTGGGCTAAAACCAATACAAATTCTACTGGAGAATTAAAAACAAGAAAAGACAATCTTGCTTGGTGTGGGCAGCTGGAACATGAGAATTGGACTGTGAAACCAGTTGTGTAAACAAGCAAGTATTGATTATCTTGTTTAGTCAAACCTTCTAAGTCAGGGATGGGCAACTCCGGTCCTGGATGGCTACTGTCCTGCAGAGTTTAGCTCCATCCCTAAACAAACACACATGAAAAATCTAACTTGAGCAAAGCCATTGGAAGGCAAGCCTGCAACCTTTAGCCAAAAAAGTGTAACGGCTAATGCTAACGCTTTGGCTTTGGCGGTACAAAGGGAAGGAGACCGAGGCTGTTGTATGATTGGCTGAGATGCCTCACATGATCCAAGTTAGCAGTTAGGCTTTTTCCAATGGAAAGTACTACAGACCCTTGCATCTCCCAATAATAAGACAATATTTGACTTAAGTCTTCAGAATTGCTTGAAAATTACAGACAGGTGTGTTTGATTAAGGCTGCCCATCCCTGTTCTAAATGTATGGTAAAAGTCAGATATGGTTCATATTATGTTTAAAGACCAGTTCTGTGTTTGTGTGCCAAACAGAAACCAGCATTCTCCAAGGATGACCTTTTGCCAATGGATCTGGGAACTTTCTATAGAGAGTTTCAAAACCCTCCTCAGCTTGCAAGCCTGTCCATCGATGTCAGCGCTCAGTCTATGGCTGAGGATTTGGTGAGAAACAAACACATTCTCATCACAGCACATACTGAACATGTTTGCAATCTATATGGGACAGGTTGACCTTTAAAGCAAGAAAGGCAAATGGCTGCAATATAACAAAGAGTGAAAAATTTAAGGGGGTCTGAATACTTTCCGTACCCACTGTACATAAGAGTAGAGACATAGAGAGTATTCATATAGGTATGATTACATTACAGGTAGTTTTTTAGCACCAAACCCAGGGTTGGTGTTAAAATCTTAAGGGTAGAAAATATTTGCAAGTATTGTTTATATGTAGTACTTAGGGTGATTTATTCACATTCATGCCGTAGTATGATGTTAAAACTTCGGTAACATTGTGATGTGTTCATTATTAGATGTTTGGTAAAGTGAACATGTATTTTTGCAGGATTCTCTTCCAGAGAAACTGGCCATTTATGAGAAGAACATTGATGAGTTTGATGCATTTGTGGACACGCTACAATAGAACAGAACAGAGATTGCTTCCTTCACAACTTCTTTACTCTTCTTGCTTCCTTCACTGAAGCATCCCTCATTGGATGTCTTCATTAACCCTGTTTTGTGTCAGTTTTTCCTTGTGCAATGAGCTATGAAGAGAATCATCATTCAAGAAAAAAGTGAACTGAGGTATAAGGAGAACAGCATCTGTTAATGGAACTGAGCAACATAAAATTTCCAACCCTTGTATTTATTAAAATAGCAGAACTGTGTAAGTAAAGCTCACTGTAATGAATGTATAAACCTGTACCAGCCTTTATTTTTGTTTTGCTCATCACATGTAGTTCACTGACTAGTCACTGAAGCAGATTTCTGTCATTGTACTGCTGACACCATACAAATTCTCTACAACTTTAATGTGAGGGGAAAACTTGAATAATCTGAGAGCATGTCCAGGCTTAAACATGAACGACACTACAGTGAATATCGACAACAGTGAATTGTGAGTCTGTGTCTGCTTACCTGGTTCTTGTAAATGCATTTTACCATAACTTTTCATACTTCTAATTTTTTATTTTTAAATTAGGGACAGTTTATCATTACTACTCATCAGGTCTTTAAATGGTGATGAATGCTTTTTTCCCTTTTCTTTTCTTTTAAAGCTTATGTTTGGCAAGTCATTAGGAGCTGGACCTTCTTTTATTATTTTAAGTGTCTTCTTTCTCTCCTCACTTTGTTAATATGGCATGTAAATGTTGGGTAATAAACTGATTTATTTCAGACAGGCCTGTTTTTGTTTCCCCTATATGCTGAGCTGGTCAAAAAACATTGTGTCTCCTTTACGCAAACCTTGGAGTTCCACTAGCTAATGAATATTTGTTAGCTCGTCGTTCGCCCAATGGAATGTCGAATGCTTGGCTTATGAATATTAATTAGGGTGCGTTACTGAAAGGCTACCTATGAAGGCTACCAAGCAACGTCAGCAGCGTCTATTTTAAAATTCATGAGCGCCGTAGCACAAATGCACGCCTACTTCCAAATTAGGATGAAAATTTGCTTTGACAGCAGTTGTGAAATGTTTTTCTGTCGTCCAGCTATCGGAACGCATCTATGTAAACGTGTAAACGCATATATGCTTTTAAAAATGTAAATTCCTCTTTAAAAGCGGATTTCAAGTGCCCAAAAGAAAGTTTTAGTTGCTTCTTCATTACACTTCGGATTACATCATTTAGCATACACTTGGTAAATCATGTATGTTTTCTCTATAAAGAATGAGAATGTGACGTAACGCCGCGTTGAGTTCTGGGAAACTGCTTTGTTTATCCGCCATACTTGCAGGATAGCGCTGGCTTTCCGCTATTGAGTTTAGGGCAGTATTTGATTGTTTGTCGTGATTGTAAAAAATGTCACCAGTGTATGTCATTCATACTGCATCGAGGATTGCAATAGTAACTCAGATAATCGTTCTGAGAGAAAACTGGACAATGCAATATGTTTTTTTTGCCGACAGTGATATTTAAAGACCACATTCTGTACACACATCTTACTAATAAAGCATAATATGTGTGGAAAAACAGATGAGCCCAAAATATGAACTTTAGAAATCGCTGTCTTAATCCAGAAGCGCTTTCTAGATTACAGTTTTCTAATGAGAGGAAAACGCTTTACATTTAAACACATACAATAACAATAACCAAAACAAACATTCTTTAAACATTTGAGGAGGGTTCAAGGAGGGAAAAAAAATAAAAATAAATAAATAAAGGGTACAAAATCTTACCAGTCTTAAAAGGAAAAAAGACTAATAAGGACAGAGTAACCATACAGTGATCTGTAAGTGGGGCAGCTGTAATTTTACATTCCGAGACAATTTTACATAGTTCACAAGAAATAAGCCAATAATCTAATCTCGAACATTGTCCATTTCCTGAGGAGTTAAACCATGTATACTGAATGCTGTTTGGGTTAGATACCCTCCAGTAATCAACCACATTTACAGTTTTACAGAAATTCAATATAGTATCATTATACACAGAATGTGAACCTCTTTGAGGTCTCCTGTCTAACCATACATCAGGGACTATATTAAAGTCAACCCCTGTTATCACATTTTCTGCATTATACTTTTTTTCCATTCATTTACCAATTTACCAAGTTTATCAAACATTTCTCTATTAGCCACTTTGTTATTATAACCATAAATACAGAGTAATATATAACATTTGTCATGAATTTCTACTGCTATCATTAACCAATGGCCTTCTGTTTCCCCTTTATGAACAATTACAGAGCCTTCAAATCTGTTAAATAATACCATCACTCCAGCTGAGTGCGAAGATCCATGTGCAAACAGGGCTAAATCACCCCACTGAACTTTCCAAAATCTTCCATTATTTAAAGCAGAATGAGTCTCTTGTAAGAAAACACAGTTAGCTTTCTGTTCCTTGCAAAATAAAAAAATAGCTTTACGCTTAACACTGTTTTTTAACCCCCTAGCATTCAAAGATAGAAAAGAAATAGACATAAAATAAATTAATGTATAACTGTCTCAGCTCTCAGCACACACTCAACTTTAAACGCAGAAGTGAACATGTTGTCCTTAATAACTCTATAACAAAACCATACCAACTAAAACATATAGTATTGCCTTTAGTTAAACACCTTTTCTTAAACAGTTTTATCAGATTATTTCCATCTGATATGTGGCAATCTTGATTGCTCTAACGAGTCTACGTGTTACCTTGTGTTCGTCAGTTACGGGTCAAATCGGAGTCCATCAGTAAGTGCATAGCCTTGTTTTAGGAAGGCTTTAGAGTTTGAATTGCATCGAAAATCACTTCATTTGTTATTTCGTCTGTTTGTTTGACTTTTGTCTTTCGCCTTTGTTCTTACTTTCTTAGGGTTCGGGCTGGGCAGAGGTGTATGGTCATGTCTTGTTTTGGCAGTTTCTACCATCATATCTTCAATTTCTTCTTCATCACATGCCTCTGCGAGAGCATTTAAGTTGTAGTCATGCTCAACTAGCCTGGTATCTGCTTGGTTGGTGTTTGCCATCGTTTACATTTAAGTAAAAGGAGAAAACTTGTGTAGTTAGCGCAACAAGTGCACAAGTTGAAACAAACTTGAAAATAACTTAACTACTGGTTGGTTTTTAATGTCAGAGATAACAATTTTAGGACGTTTCAAGCTATTTTCCTCAGAGCCTGCATAAACGCGACCGCTCACTCCGCCATCTTGGAATTCCCCAAAGATAAGCATTTATCCTTATAGAGAATGAGAAGTAACCATGGGAACGGATAGCGTATCCTGCTAATATGGCGGCGCCTTCCCGAAATGCAATGCGGAGTGAAAAGGTCGTGACGTAACTCCTCATTCTCTATAGTAGATGTGTGCGTCGTGCGCACCCGTCTGAATGGTCTCCGCGTTTAGAAATGTCAAAAAATAAGTCTAGATATCTCAGCATGGTACACTCGTCGTCTGTATGTAATAACATGTATATTTAACTTAAAAATATTCGAATGATAGCAAACTATCAAATGATGGCAAAACCCCCCATTGCTTTTGGTAATGGGGACATTGGATAGCTAATTATATGTTTTTTAACTGTACAGTCATTAATATGTATATATGCTGTGTGTTGTAGAGAGCAAATGTTGCGCGCTTTTAGAAGTCACACTTGGGAGAGTTGGGAATGGGATCCGGACAGTAAATCTCCTGATGCTCATCTGTCTCTATGCCGACAAGCTGTATATTTTCATGTCAGCCCTCTGTTGGACAGTCAGGGCACTGCAGGGGTCAGAGCAGGGGCGTCGCACCCGTGGGGGATCTTTTCCCGGTGAGAGGGTTCAACACCCGCGTCACTGTATTCATCGTTTTTATTGTTAATAAACAAACCACATCCATCCCCCGCACTTTTGAAAAGCTTGCTACGCCCCTGGGTCAGAGGCACCAAAGGTGAGACTAGTGAGGGATAAACGCTGTTTTTGTTGTTCACATTAAGTCAGCTAGTTTTATTATTAAAGTACAATCTTACATTTAATCAAGCTGATACTGCTTTAGCAGTATAAACGTTCAGTGATAAGTTGAACATTAAGTGCTAGTTTCCTTTGCAACACGCCTGGTTCAAGTAAATTTTTTAACTAGCAATTATAATGCTAGTAAGGCTTTAATTATGCTCTAGTAGAGTATTGCTTTGTAGGATAACTATCATGTGTTGTGGTATAATTTTCTAATAATAATTGATTCATTACTACAGAATAACACATATTTCTGTGTAAGGTTTCACTCACGGTGAGCATTACTGGGAGATCGAGTTCCTAGAGCCTCCATATGGAAGCTCTGGGTTGGTACCCAAAATGCACTTCTGCACACGGGATCAAAAGTTTGTTAACCTCATAGGTGAGTACAGTCATGTTCCTCTTAGGAATGCTTATTCTTCTACCAAATCAGCCCAGCCCAGCTCCGCTCAGCACAGACCTAAACTCCCTCAGGTTGATCTTACTTGACAACCTAAAAATGAATGACATCATCTAATTATCAAACAGGAATTTTAATTATCAACACCACCTAGATTAACAAGGGAGGAAACGTACAGAACAAGTAGACCATACAAAAGCACACAATGCTTTTCTTTGAATCATTTTAACTGTTTATTTTATTGTTATTGTTTATCAAAGGCATTGACAGTGAGAGTTGGGGTCTATCATACAAAGGCTTCGTCTGGCATAATGGAAGGAGTCGAAAATACACAGAGCCTTTTTATGAAAGAAATACAGTCATTGGGGTTTTGCTGGACTTGAACACTGGAACACTGACTTTCTTCCGAAATGGAGTGAACCTTGGGGTGGCCTTCACTGGCCTGGAACAGGTAAATATCACTGCACTGAGTATGTGGAAGTACTGGATGTAGGTTATATGTGGGGGTTTAAAATGCTCCTGGAACTTTTGTGTTCCTTTCAGGTCAGCAAGGCTCTGTATCCTCTGGTGAGCTCTACGGCCCCTGAAACTGAGATTCAGCTGGGTGTGAGGAGCCAGAGAATCTCCTCCCTACAGGAACAGTGCGCACACATCATCACACAGTCCCTCTCACATTATAGACATGCACACAAATTACCATTACCCACATCTCTGCTCTGTCAAATACACACACATGCGCATTTATAAGCGAGGCATGACCTGTTTCTGATTCATGTAGAACATGCCAACCTCAAATAACACAATTATATCTAGTGCAACAGATCCATTTTATATGCAGCCTACCTCAAAAATAATTTTATATTTGTATTACTTCATTTGAACAAAACGTGTGACCTTAACTATGTAATCAAATTACTGTTTGTATTCTTAAGCTATATGCCATTTCTGCACTTTATAGATGATGTTGTTGGCAATGATTGTGTTCCAAAATAAGATATAATTACCTGTATTTATAATTAGTTTATTATACTCCTCACAGGGTAGTTATTTTTGGGACAAAATATGTAAACGCCAATTAAATATAACTGCCCGCTTTTATCCGTATTTAAAGAAACTGTGGTAAAAGTGTTTTTATTTGCTCACCAAAACCTGTGGATGTTTAAAAAAAGCATCCAGAGAGGGAAAAAAATATTACACCATCTCTAACAATTTATTACTCTGATATCACAACATGATATACAAAAGTAAAGATTTCAAAAGCACAGGATACATTTTAACAGCCAAAATGGAAGAAAAGAACCTTCACAAAAGAAGTAATAAGTTCCACCTGGAAACCAGATATACATGTCTACAGTACAGGTAAACAGGAAGGTGTTTGGATACAGATACAACAAAATGGCACAAAGTTCACAGATCTGTCCAGAGAAAGGGAATTTAACAGCTAATATCGTCGCCAATTCACTCCATTAAGGCACACATACACTTAGGTTTGAGGGCGCTTGTCTAAAACTATTTAAGCCACTGGTCCACATGTCAATGCTCGGATGGATTGACATGAATAGGACGTTTACATGACACAGTAAACAGTTACAATTTTATATCAAGGCATATGACACTTAACTCATTAGTGCTAAATAATTAGTACCCAAGTACCTGCTTTGTTTTTTTGGGGGGATTTCAGACCCATGAAACAAGACTCTATTGTGCAAAATCTGGACGATTCACTTCACGTACAGAGCCCTGTGATACAACTAAAATGTCGCTGTACTTTTATGTACTCCAGTACACCAGTAATAACTCATCACACTTATGATATGTTTCCTCAAAGATAAAACAACAATTTTACTGAGAGGACAAAATGACATCAAATTGTTCTTTGCTATTTCTTTCTTGATTTGGGCTTTTGTTTCAAATGCACCCATGTGTAATGGCACTGTCCCCGACAGGCAGTACGTCTTCCAAGTTACAAATCAATTTGATCACACAAACAGTTTAACCATATAATCTTTGGCCAAAATAAATATGTCTGGGTAGAATAATACAACAGCATTACTGAACAAACCACACACATACAGAGAGAAAAAGCGAACTGTTGGCAGACATACGTGTGTGTGAATATTATATATATATATATATATACACATATGTATAAATGTATACACACACACACACACACACATACAGGTTTTGATCAGAAAAATTACTTTTCTGTTTCAGCATCAGGAAATTTGTGCTGGCCATAAAGCATCTGCCCTGTTCCTGGAGCCACTGAGACACCAAAAAAAGATGAAACAGATTATAGAAATAATAAAAATATAATGATATGATAATATAAACGAAGACTGAATGAAAGCTCTTTGAGACAATACATAATATCATATATTTTATGTTAAATGAAATAAGCATGTTTAAAAAAAAAAGTGTTTCAAGTTTGAGTAGTAGTGCTTTATACTTGTCCATAGCTTGTGCCAACTATGGTTTACAAAAATGAGGACGTGTGCATTTAGTCTAATTTTACTTGGAAAAATTAACTGAAATGAATTCTGTAAAGTCCAACAAAAAAATTTCCGAAGTATAGCTGATGAGCTACCAAAAAATAAAAATGAAAGCAGCTACCTGTACACTTTGTTGGTTTATTGATTCAGGCCTCTGCTAACAGACCATATAAAACTCTAGTGCCTGTGCAGTACCATTATGTCTGACAGCAGCTACATGACTTCTGCAGGAAAGACAGGAGACGATTGTCAGAATTTGATCACAGCCTAAACGTTTGTGACAGCTTGACCACTCTGCGCCCTCCAGTATCCTTTTTTCGTAGCTTCGCCCAGTTAAAATACTCATGCATTTGGCAATACTAAGGGAGACATTAAGGACAGGGCACAGCCACAGAGGAGCAAAGCTATGGAACTAGGAGGGACAATAACCAGAGAGGAGTCATTGTGAAAAGTTCTCCTGCTCCTCACTGGATAAAGACCTTGTGATGTAGGTCGAGCAGGATGCGGGTGAAGTTGTTGATTGGTCCGATCGCGCTGAGTGTCATGGAAGCATCCTGCCCCCACAGCAAGTTGGGCCCAAACACCACAGCCAGGTTGGCATTGGTCATCTTATTGACTTCACTCTCAGCAGACACCTGCACATTAATAACAATAAAGATCAGAAACACTAACGGGCTTGAAGGACAAAGTAGGAAAGAAACAAATGATAAGTTACATTTAAAATTCTAAATATAAATATATATAAAAATAAGTATAATATATGTGTGTCTGTATTACTTTATTTACACTCACACACACACAGATATATATATATATATATACACATATATACAGTATATATATATATATATACACAGATATATATATATAATATGTATGTATATATAATATACAATATAATTATATAATTAGTGGTGTCAAAATTAGGGCGTTAACGCAGGCGATTAATTTTTTCAGTTTAACGCGTTAAAAATATTTAACGTAATTAACGCAGGGGCGGGGCTAGGGTTGGCCACCCCACTCACAACTGCTGCTTCTGCCACTTTTTCTCTTGACAAGAAGTGCATTTATTCAGTCGCAGAACGAAGCCCCGTTCACACTGCCAGCGACAAAGCGACATGCTCCCATTCATTTTCAATGGAGAGCTGGCGACTTCCGGCGACACGAGCGACAGTGACCGTTGGCGACAGAATGTGGGCGTGTCAAGCGATAAAAGTTACAAATTGTTTAACTTTATGCAAATGAACAGCAAATTTCGCGAGCAACAACCAATAGGAGTGAAGAATCTGTCAGTGGCGCACACACGTCACCGTC